AACGTTCCCTGCTCAAAGTAACCGGGACGTCACATATGAAACAGCGTGCCATCGCTGCCAGCGAGTATCTAAGCACTCATACCGGTCAGACTGTGAATGTATGCTACGAGCCCGCTCACGAGAGCTCGCGTGTACTATCAGTCGCTCCGCCTCAAGCGCCGCTCGCGCTTCAGAAAGCCATTGTAAAACGCTCCCCATTCAATGTAATCGGGTCGTTATGTGCGAACCAGCCCAAAGCGGCTGTCAGCGAGCCACTTTGTCCAGCACCAAGGGCGCGCACGCCGCGCCCACGTCTCCGTTTCAGTTCCCGAAGCCCACAGTGTGCGGCGACCGGAACCCGGAGGCCATTCTCCCCCTATCCACACATGCACAAGCATGGGAAGCCATTCCAGGGGTTTCAGAGTGGGTGCTGAGCACAATAAGACAGGGCTATGCACTACAGTTCGCTCGCCGTCCCCCGCGTTTTCACGCTCGGACCGAGTCGACAGTGAGCGCGAAAGTAGCACATCTACTCAGAAATAGCCAAACTGCTGTGCAAAGGAGCTATAGAACCGGTGCCGCCTTCTCTGAGCGAGTCAGGCTTTTACAGCCGTTATTTTCTCGTACCGAAGAAGGACGGAGGCCTGAGGCCTATATTAGATCTGAGATTTTTGAACAAAGCTCTCATGAGGAGACCGTTCAAAATGATTACAACCAGGCAGATCCTCGCGCAAATTCGCCCGAGGGACTGGTTTATATCTCTCGATCTGAAAGACGCATATTTTCAGATGCAGATTATACCCCGTCACCGGCCATTCTTGAGATTCGCCTTCGACGGCCAGGTATATCAGTACACTGTCCTCCAGTTCGGCCTGTCCCTGGCACCCCGTACATTTACGAAGTGCATGGACGCGGCGCTCACCCAATTGGCCCAAGAGCTCATTACGGCCCAGCCAGTCAATCTCCTTTTTAGGGATGGAACTGGACTCCGTGGCTATGAAAGCTCAGCTGTCGACAGAGCGCGCGCGCCGTGCTCGACAGCTGGCCGCATCTTTCCAGAAGGGCAGAACCGCCTCCCTGAAGAAATTTCAGAGGATGCTGGGCTGTATGGCCTCAGCTGCAGCAGTGCTTCAGCTGGGTTTACTGCGCATGCGCCCACTACAACGCTGGTTGAACGCCCGCGTACCCCGTCATGGGTGGACGCGTGGCTACAAGCGGATCAGGATATCTCAGAGCTGCATTTCAGCTCTGCAGCCCTGGTTAGCGGCCAATTGGTACCAGCAGGGGACGAGGATGGGAGTGATTTCCCACCGGAAAATCATCTCGACAGACGCCTCCAACTCAGATTGGGGCGGCCTTTTCGAGGGCAGACCAGTCTTTGGCCTGTGGTCAGACAGAGAGAAATGCCTTCACATAAACTGTCTGGAGATGTTGGTGGTCGAGAACGCGCTGAAGCGCTTCCTCCCGTTCATACAGGACCAACACGTTCTAGTCCGCTCGGACAACATGTCGGTTGTGTCCTACGTGAACTGCCAGGGCGGTGTCAGGTCCAGGAGCCTCTGCGACCTGACGGAACGCCTCCTCGTTTGGGCCCAGTGCTTCCTGCGTTCGCTGAGAGCGACGCACGTGCCAGGGATCCTGAACGAGGGACCGGACAGATTGTCCAGGGACAATATCCCCCCCGGGGAGTGGTCATTACACCCCCAAACAGTCCAGCTGCTGTGGCGCCTCTTTGGCAGAGCGGAAGTCGACCTATTCGCGTCAAAGGACAACGCTCATTGCCCAGTGTTCTTTTCAAAGAACGAGGATGCGCTGGCCCAACTCTGGCCCAGACGCCCGCTATATGCCTTCCTTCCGATCTCAATGTTACCGCAGGTAATCAAGAGAATCAGGGAATCACACAGCCCGGTGCTCCTCATAGCCCCGCGATGGGAGAACCAAACCTGGTTCCCGGAACTAACACGGCTGTCACACACAGCCCCGTGGCCGATTCCGGTGAGGAGGGACCTCCTCTCTCAAGCCTGCGGCTCGATCTGGCATCCCCACCCAGAGCGCTGGTCTCTGCATGTGTGGTTGATCAACGGATACCCGTTATCCTGCCAGAAGGAGTTGATCACGAGAAGGAGATGAACATGATCACGCAATCTAGAGCCCCCTCTACGAGACGGCTATATGCGTCTAAATGGTCTGTGTTCTCCAAATGGTGCACCGACAAAAACCTGGACCCCAAAACGGGTGAGGTTTCGCAGGTGCTCAGTTTCCTTCAAGAGCTGCTGGATAAGGGCAGAAAGTTTACGTGGCGGCCGTCGCAGCCTTTGCTGAGTCGAAGCAAGGCCGGTCGCTAGGAAGGAATGAGCTGGTCATCCGCTTCTTGAGAGAAGCCAGAAGGATGAACCCTCCGCGCCCACCTTCAGTTCCTATTTGGGATCTCTCCGTGGTCCTAGAGGCCCTAAAGATGCATCCCGTCAAACCATTAGATTTAACTAATCTAAAATACCTCTCGCTCAAAACCGTTTTTCTTTTGGCTCTGTCATCAGTTAAACGCTATCTGTTAGTGCAGCGTGCCTTGAGTTTGGCCCGAATGACTCTAAAGTCATCCTCAAACCGAGACATGGCTATGTCCCGAAGGTGATTGGCACTCCCTTCAGAGCGCAGGTCATTTCTCTGTCGGCTCTGCCAGCATCCGACAGCGCGGGCAGCGACAGTCTCCTATGCCCTGTCAGGGCACTGAGAGCTTACTTAACACGCTCAGCCCCTTTCAGACGCTCCGAGCAGCTTTTCGTTTCGTTTGGCGGGCGCACCAAAGGTCTCGCCGCCTCGAAACAGTCCCTATCCAGATGGATAGTGGACGCGATTTCTGCTGCCTATGCTTCAAAAGGTCTGCGATGCCCTCTGGGCATCAGGGCTCATTCCACAAGAGGCATGGCCTCGTCGTGGGCATGGTCCAGTGGAATTTCCATTCACGACATCTGTATGGCGGCGGGCTGGGCCTCCCCGTCTACATTTGTGAGATTCTATAATCTGGAAGTTCCTGCCTTGCAGGCCAGACTTTTATCAGTCTAATGTATGTATGTTCTGCCCACGTCACTGGTGCGCAGGCTACCTCAATTTTGCTTAATTTTGCCTGATTTTGCTTAAATGATAGCAAAATCATATTTTGCTATCATTTAAGTTCACTTTTACATTTGTAGTACTACTTTAATACATTCTTGGCTTTGTTTAATAAAGCAGCTGTAACTTTTGAAACAGCTTATTTGTTGTTCTGAAATCAGAATGCTCGATAACAATCCTGAACTAGATGGTAATGTTCGTAGACAAATTTTAAGTTGGCTTTAAAAAGCCTAGCCAGAAAGTTTAGTATGGTTTACTATCGCCGGCGCCACCATTGACCATTGGCTGCTGTTGCTTGACTTCCAGTTACATGTGATTGGTTGCTGCAACGTTGGACGATACTGATTGGCTGCCACGAAGTGACAGGTCCCTCCTAATTTGGTAGGGCTGTCCATAGACATAATAAATACTATATTTATGTATTTATTATGTCTATGGGGCTGTCGGCTGCCAGTGGCAGCTACTTCCTGCTGCCAGCTGCCGATTTTTTTCGCTGAACCCCTACTGCGCATGGGGCTGCATGTTAGCAGAGGTTTTTTTTCCTGGTGATCCTTGGCTTGATTTTCATTTGATCTTTTGTTTCCTGAGAGGATTTCACTCCATTTTTTTTCTTTTGCCGAAGCTGCCCAGTAGCTTCTCAGGCTTGTTTCACACGTGTGCCCTGTGACAGACAGACATGATCTGTTTGCTCTCCAGCCCTGTTTCCATGAGGCTAGAACTTGTCTGTCATTTTTTTTTTCCTTGTTATGAATTGTATCCTATTTTCCGTTATTACAGTTAAATACGCGAAGTGATATGCAACTCTAATGCGGTCAAGACCTGCCTGGAACTACTTTAGCCATGCGTTTCCCTGAAAATAATAATTTGCACACCTTAGAACGTTCGTCAAACAATCAGATTCAAGCATTCAACATCTCTAATTAATTTTATTATATTTACAGTTATGTTTTGTAAAATATTCACTTAGGCCTATCTAAGTTTTGTTCTGTTATGTAATAGTGGTTTATGAAAGTGGACGAGTGAAAAGGTGACAAATTAAACTAAATTGTTTAAATACGCAAGTTTAATGTTGTGTATAATTCAAAAAAGAAAAAACTTGAACAACAAATGAATAATGTACATGATTGTGTGGTGCATATATCTTTCGTCTGCTGTAACTATAATTATTTGAAATGTTAATGAACAAAAACAAAATGTTACCTGCAAAAAGGCACTAATGCAAGAAGCAATTGATAGAATTATATTTTAATCTATTTGAATAATTTATGGTGAAACAATAAATACATGGGAGATGCATCTTTGAATATCAACTTAAACCACATTAAAAACAATGCATTGAAATTATATTCTAATCAAAAAGTTGAAATAGTGTTGATTTTTGCCATGAATATCCATTGCTGCTGATATGGCATTGAATAAATAAATACACCACATGCATAGTTTAATATTTCTCATTCATCAAAAATGCAAATGGACAAAGATGCAGTTTTATTGTGGACTCTACCTTTTTAGGAAGCTGGACTGTGATATTCGTATTCAGTTGCCGCAGGTGTCAGATGAGCACTGTAAAATAGAGCTGAATGAGAACAACGAGGTAATTATGTTGTGGTATAACACTATAAGTTTGACTTCATCTCTTGTTTCCTTAAACTGTTTCTTTGCATATAAGAACACATGACATGATGTTAATTTATTGTCTCTCTCTTGTTTAAGCTCATTTTGACCAATTTAAGCTCTGTGAACCCCACACGTATTAATGGACAAGTTCTCAATCAATCTGAACGGTTAAAGCATGGTGATCTCATCACAATCATTGATCGTTCTTACAGGTGATTCTGATTTTCATTATAATTAGGGAAAAAAATTAAAAGTTTTCTTTCTTGGAGAATCCTTGTTCTGACAATAATTAATTTTGTGTGGTTTCATCTTGTCATTGTTAGGTTTGAGTACCCACCACCCAAGACACTGACAGCTGGAAAAGACAAAACAGTTCAGGTGTGTAGTTGATGTGAGTCTTGTGAAACAGATGATGGGTATTTTTTGTTAATTTATCATTTATTTATTTTGTTAAATTTTGGTTCTGTCATCCTATAGGCTTTGAAAGACCAGCAGGAAAAAAGCACACCCGTTCATGCAGAGAAGAGGAAGTCAGAGCATTTGTTTGGTTAGTGATCATGAAATTTATTTTCTGTAATATTCTATAAATTTCTTTTTTGCAACATGTTTACTTTAGTTTTTTTTCTAGTTTTGCTAATTCTGCTAGAATATAATTTCATATCCGTGATTGTCATGTGTGCTATACTTGCAGACACTTGTTTAAAAGATGGGTCAAATTTACCACCATCTGTGGATCAATCTGTTGAGAATGATCCTTTTTTTGAGCTCTTCCAAATGAACTCTACCAAAAAAACGGACATTGTTGCTAAATCACCATGGAAATCTGAGCTACCAAAAAAACCTCTTGGAAGACCTCAGGTTGATCATGAGGAAGCTCCCGCTGCAGATGTTAAAAGTTGCCCTGAACCGGTCACAACTCCAGAACTAGATTTCGAGGATCTTTTCTCCTGGATAAATGAAAGTCTTACTGGACTAACTATCCCTCAGAGCTCATTTCATGGAAGTCAGGAAGAGAAAACTGTCGATGATATGCCGTCTGTAGGGTCCATCACCCCCTCATTGACAGAGAAAAGTGTAACTCCTGTCTCCCAGAAGAAGAGAACACCCTTGAAAACGCCTCAGAAGTTCAGTGCTGGTGAGGTTGTCCAGCAAATTCTCTTCGAGTCTCAGTCTGAGGAGAAAACTCCCAAATCCCCAGAAGGAAGGAGATCACGGGATCAGAGCCTTGATCTCCAAATGCCTTTGGGCCAGCCTCAGACTCCAGGCCCAATAGGCAAGAACACTAAAGTGAAAATGTCACGAAGAACATCTATAAGACCAAATGCTAGCAGGTCTGAAGTCCAAGGTGGTCCATATGAAATTAAGAGGATCAGAGGTGAGACAGAGTCTTTCTTCTGTTTTTCTCCTCATGAACACAACTATTTTTAACACTTTAGAAGTAGAGATGCATAAGTAATCGCTCACTCAATCTCATTTCTAAATTACAACAATTCACCTCTGTCTATTAAACATTTGACAAAATCACAACGGAACATTCAAATCTGTGTTTGCGTTGCTGCTGAGAAAGCAGTTATGTGTAGGTATGAAACAGCATCACTTAAAGTATTTTCAACCACACAATGTTGTTGTTTCTGTGTTGCAAATATTAAAATGATCACAGAAGTACTGGGATAAAAGTTTATAGTTCGGATATAAACACTGATGTCTACGGTAGCGATCATAAGAGCAATTCACCTTTTGTAAAAAAAAACTTGTTGCTTCAAACAACGATTGTATCGATTACATTGTTATGCCATTAGTTGGCGACAAGTGACTGTTTATAACATGAGCTTTGTCCCAATTCGGAGGCTGCGTCCTCTGGAGAGGCATTTAAAGTGTGATTGCGTCACATCGGCACGGCGAAGGCTGTCCCAATTCAAAGGCTGCACCCTTCGAAGGCCAATTGTGTCACCGCGGAGTGACAAAGGCTACCCCGATTATAATGCGACTTCAAATGCGCCCTTTGTTTCTCAGGCAATGAAGGATACAACTGATGGACCCTTCGCTTGCAAAACGTGTTGTAAAATTTTCTTTTGTTTTAGGGCTCCAGGTGCGGACACCTGAATTTATTAAAATGAGGGCTGACCACGACCATTTATTTACCGGGGACAAAAACTCGGCCAGTGTGGCTTGGGGGTAAGGCCTATTTCCACTAGGCTCTCTTGTGTATTATAGTAAATAGTCCTCACCCTATTCAAAGCCCACAACAATAAGACAACCAGTAGATAAGGCAATAGTCTTTCACTTTGTTGTTTTTGGTAGTGCTGTCATGCAAGGTATGTTTACAAATGTTTTAACCAAACCTGAGGACTTTTGTATGCATGTTTTGTAATGTTAAGATTGCACTGTTTTTCATAAGTGTTTCCCTTTTCTCTTGTTTTAGGGCAGTTCTGAGGAAAATGGGCCTGCTGGGGAAGGCCACTCCCAAAAAGGCAGCAAGAAAATGGAAGTACTTAAAAACACAATACAAAGTAAGCAAGTTAATTGGCCCGTCTTTGCTGAAATGTATTGTGCTGTTGTTGTTTTTGTTAACAGGCATGGTTTATTTGCTCTGCCGTAGAATTGCAAGTGTAAGGGAGCGAGTGCTAAAACTTGGCCGTGGTTTGCCCACATGGATAAGGTGTTGGGACAGAGGCATTCCACCAACCCCCATTTCCAACTTGCCTCCTTCCCTGAGGACACACCAGGCTCAAGTTCAGCAGTGCATGACGAAGATGAGGAGGAGCCACGACCACCACCAGCCAAGAGAAAAAGAGGCCATGTTGATGAGCTGGTCGAGGTACTTAGGGAAGACATCAATTTTCGAGGAGAGGAGAGGTAGAGGAGGAGGAGAGGAGAGGAAAGGGAGAGGAGAGGAGAGGAGAGGAGAGGAGAGGAGAGGAGAGGAGAGGAGAGGAGAGGAGAGGAGAGAGAGAAGAGGAGAGAGAGAATGGACCAACTATTTTCTCTTATTGAGAGAATGGTTAAAGGACAAGTTATGTGTTTCACACTTAAAGCCCTGTTTTAAGATCGTTTCTGATGAAACAGAACGGTTAAGATTGAAATTTGGACACATGCTGCTGGCCCGAGAATTTTCGGTTTCTGTGGTTGCACCCCTCCACCTCCACAATGGTTGCATAGGTCCACAGGAACAATCCTTCATAAAACGCATTTAACTTTAGTTTACAAAGACGTGAAACTCACCGAGTGGTCTGGGGTGTTCACTGATATGCTCACACAAAAATCACTGCAAAAGATGCTTTCCAGGTGTTTTACCATTCGTTGTAAAACTGTGGATCTATTTTTCCAAACGCCTCACACCCGTACATTCTTCCATTGAGAGCTTGAATAATAGACACTCCAGCCCAGTTGGTGGCGATAATGCACCTTTGCCAATTGCAAGCAAACCACTGGCATTTCATTGAATACACAGAAGAAGCAGAAGAATACAAACAACCCCATTTCCGTTTCCGGCGGCGGAGTAATACCGTACCTCACAGCACATGATCCATTACAAGTCAATGGAGTTGGACAAAAACTACAATAAAACCTGTTGGAAAGCATCTTTTGCAGCGATTTTTGTGTGAGCTTATCAGTGAACACCCCAGACCACTCGGTGAGTTTCACGTCTTTGTAAACTAAAGTTTAATGCGTTTTATGAAGGATTGTTCCTGTCCACCTATGCAACCATTGTGGAGGTGGAGGGGTGCAACCACAGAAACCGAAAATTCTCGGGACAGCAGCATGTGTCCAAATTTCAATCTTAACCGTTCTATTTCATCAGAAACGATCTTAAAACAGGGCTTTAAGTGTAAAATACCGAACTTGTCCTTTAAGAAATCAAATTTAAGTTAAAAATGTGTTCATTCAAAATTTTCTATATATATATATTTTAATGTCACTTATAATTTCTCAATTAAACAAAAAAAGTATTTCTGTAGTTTACTTTTGTGATGCAAGTTAAAAATGAAAGTTGTATAAAGTTGTATACTGTGTCAAGCAGGACGAGGACGAGGGCCGTGAGTGAACACCACGAGCAGGGGCGTCACTAGGATTTTCATTTTAGGGGGGCTAAGCCCCCAATATGATTTTTAAAAAAATTATAAAAAATGTAACACTTTAGTTTAGGATCTAAAGCTCACAATTAACCATTTTCATTACGATGCAAAGGCACGGTTTTATAATAACTGTGATCCCAAATGTGAGGCAGGGCAAATACGGGGGTTCGGGGTCTCCCCGAGAAAATTTTGATTTCTCTGATCACATATGTGTATTTTAAGATGTTCTGAAGGCCAAAAAACTTGGATAGTGGGCAGCTGATTATTTTCTCTCCTCATCATCATCACACTCTTTTTCTCTTTGTTTTTATCTTGCCCTGTCTCTTCCCCTCCTAAAGCTGAGCTTTGACTGATAAAGGCTTTTCATTTTTGTCTGTCAGTGAAGAAAGTAAACATAGGGTCAACTGATAGGGTGATTTTGCCTATGAATCATTTTCTCAGACGCGTTTATTTACTGAAAGCTACTAAAGGTAAGTTTATTAAATGCATTCACAATATGTAGGCTACACATTTATTATTGATCTTATGCCTAATACAGGGCCGTAGACAGGGCTTTATAATCACAGAGGTCCTAAATTTGAGGTTGGTAGGGGGTTCAAATTTTTTATTTCTCTGATATGTGCATTTCAAGACGTTTGAAGACCAAAAAAAGGATAAGAAATCGCTTTAAAACCATGTCAGTGGGCAGATTATTTTTTTGTCAATACCTGCTGCTCTCTTCTCATCACTCTTTCTTTATCAGTCTCTTCCCTCTTCCCCTCCTAAAGCTGAGCTTTTTTAATTTACTAAAGGCTACAATTTGTATTATATTCTCAATATGTACACATTCATTATTAATCTTGTGCCTAACATGATGAAAACGGCTTTGTTAATGTTTCTTGTAAACTAATTATTACATGAGTCACGTTACATAGGCCTATTTTCAGCTCAAAATGGCGAAATTTGACACAACTATATTAGTTTGCCTGATTATTTTTTGTCATTCGTTTAACATTTATGACATGAAAAAGGTAAAATATGAAATGTTAAGTTTAGCTACTTACATCTTATCTCGCACTTGACCGTACGCGTCGAGTCGCATTGTTAAAATTCGCGCTCAGCAGCGTCTGTGAACATTAAGCCCGCCTACTTTGATTTGATTGGTCATCTCAAATATTCTGACATTGACGAGCAGTGACAGACCAATGAGGCTCAGATAAACACACACATGAACACACACACACACACACACCCTGTCCTCTGTTTCTGACGTGCTCTCTGCTCGGCGCCGCTGCGGATTGAAGATGAAGAACGCGCTGAATCTGATTATAACAAGACTGAAGCGAACACGAATTTGTGTAGCCTACATTAATCTCACATTTTTAGGGGGGCTAGGCAGAAGTTTAGGGGGGCTGAAGCCCCCCTAAAAAGGGCCTAGTGACGCCCCTGACCACGAGGCCGGTGTTCTGAACTATTCACAGTGTCTGAAATTTTCAGTGACACTGGGCAGACCTAAAGCTCAATTTATACTTCTGCGTCGAACTCACGCCGTAGCTACGTGGTTGGCTGTGTGTAGCATGCGTACCCTTCGGCGTACCCTGACGTGCACCTCTCCAAAAATTTAACAACGCGTCAATTCTACGCGTACCGCAAGCGCTGTGATTGGCCTGCTAGAACCGCTCGCCTGTTTCACATGCTCCCTCTGCATGTGTAATTGCGCGTCAACGCGGACAACGATGCAGAAGTATAAATTAAAACCAAAGCGTAATCTATAGCGTAGAGGCTCCGGCGTAGGTCCGACGCAGAAGTATAAATCAGCCTTTACATGAATACTTACAAGTTTCCTGTTTCGTGTTAAAGCGCCACTAAAAATATTAGTGCACTTTGCTCAGATCGCAGAAACTATTTTTCAGCATTGAATGAAGTTAAGTTTCTTTTTTAATAACTGTTCATTTATGCTCGATAGTTTCTACATAGTATCATGTGATATGATTTAATTACAGCCACTGATTTGCCAGTGACTTATCGTTATAGGATACGGTTCGAGCAATGAGCCAACAGCCATTGAGTTTGTTTTAATTATAAAGGCTACTTGTCATTTAACATGCTAACATGACATGTTACAGGCATGAAAGGCAATTGTTATTATTTCTGTCAGAGGAAAGAATTATTATTATTTCTGTAAAAGGATGGAATTATGATTATTATTAGTAGTATTCTTTATCTGTATATATATATATCATTTTCATTTTTTAAATTAATTTTCTGATTTGTCCCCCACAGATATCAGATGAGAGCACACAGTCCCTGACCCAAACCCAGGCCAACACCACACAGCCCGGATCTCCTGACTCCCCTAATGTGCCACCACTCTGCACAGCTAAAACTTCTCGCCGTACTCTTGCTTCAGAGAGAAGGGCTGAGGCAGATCAGCCCTGTGTCCTGAATGGCATTAATAGCAAGTCAGATGAGGAAGAGCATTTTCTTTTAAGTTTAGCTGGGGCATTGAGACACCTTCCTCCATGCAGTCGATCCAAGGTTAAAATCAAATTTCAACAGATTTTACATGAGGCGGAATTTAACAATCAGTAAAACAGTATCATGCATACATTAGCAAACATACAGACACATACACACACAAATTCACTTTCAAATAGACAAAACAAATAATACATATGTAACAATCAATAACTTTATTTTTAGGGGCCAAGCACCGAAGGTGCGGAGGCACCTATTGAAATCGTTGGCGTTATTATTATTGTTTTTGTTCGTTTGTTTATTTATTTATTTCAACAAGGACAATTTGCAAAAAAACATTAATTAAAGATGCTTTGCACCAGATTTAGCTTAAGCTAGTTTCCATCTGTCCATCTGTTCCATCTGTTTCCAACAGAACGGTTAAGATTGAAATTTGGACACATGCTGCTGGCCCGAGAATTTTCGGTTTCTGTGGTTGCACCCCTCCACCTCCACAATGGTTGCATAGGTCCACAGGAACAATCCTTCATAAAACGCATTTAACTTTAGTTTACAAAGACGTGAAACTCACCGAGTGGTCTGGGGTGTTCACTGATATGCTCACACAAAAATCACTGCAAAAGATGCTTTCCAACAGGTGTTTTACCATTCGTTGTAAAACGTCTCCGGTTACTTTCGTAACCTCGGTTCCCTGAAAGGCAGGGAACGAGACATTTACGTCGATGACGTAGTATGGGAACTCCTCCCCTTCTTCACTTCTGCTGAAATCTTATGGGCTAACGCCAGCTGGAGACAGCTGGCCAATTGACGCAAAATATGCAAATACTGACACGCCTGCTGGCAGTATAAATTGCATACGCACGTCAATTGCATCAGAATACGACTGAACGCTCGAATGAACAAGCGACACGGCGTTCGACGTAAATGTCTCGTTCCCTGCCTTTCAGGGAACCGAGGTTACGAAAGTAACCGGAGACGTTCCCTTTCAAGGCGGTCACTTCGACATTTACGTCGATGACGTAGTATGGGAACTGTGTCAAATCCCGCCGTGGAGCAGAGAACCCACCCACTCGAGAATGACAGAACCCTCATCCAATAGCTGCGCTACTAGAAATACGAGCTCCTGATAGGGCGAAGCGAGCCAATAGCGCGCTGTCTAAACCTCATCAAAATTTGCATATCCCAAGCAAATGAATAGAGGGAAGTCTTGCACTGAATCATTCAGGGCAGAACAACACAGAGTAATAGCAAGTATAATACAAGTCAGCAGCAAAGCGGCGACAGTTGCATAAGCACAACACATAAATCAAGCATTCATGCACAACCTGAAGGCTCAGCTCACCGAAAGCACTTGAGACGCAACAGAAGGTACATCCAACTTATAAAATCTGGCGAACGTATTCTGAGAAGACCAGCCAGCAGCAAGACACAAGTCCCTTATAGACATACCTCTGGACCAGGCCCACGAAGAGGCGATCGCCCTCGTCGAATGAGCCTTAATGTTGAGGGGACAGACCACCCCCTGGCAATCATAAGCCAAGGCAATAGCATCCACAATCCAGTGAGCAAGCCTCTGTTTCGAAACTCCACGTCCCTTGTTGCAACCGCCAAAGCATACAAATAGCTGATCTGATTGACGAAAAGCGGCTGAGCGAGTCATATACATCCGTAAAGCCCTGACTGGGCAAACAGCGCTCTGAGCATCGATATCACGCGAGACTGATAACTCAGAAGACAATGCAGGCAGTAAAACAACCTGCGCTTTGAACGGAGTATTGAGTGACTTCGGAACGTACCCCTGTCTTGGCCGAAGAGTGACATTACAATCTCCTGGTCCAAAACGAATGCAGTCCTCGTGAACCGAGAACGCTTGCAGGTCCCCCACACGTTTCGCTGAAGCAAGAGCGAGAAGCAAAGCAGTTTTCAGGGAAAGCTCCTTGACCGCAATCGAAGCCAGTGGCTCAAACGGTGGAAGAGACAGAGCCCTCAACACTAGGGCTAAATCCCACGGCGGCACAGAAGGCGGCCGTGACGGACATAATCTCCTAGCTCCCCTGAGAAAACTGATCACCGATGCATGTTTACCGATCGACTGTCCCTCGATCGGGAGGCGAAATGCAGAAATAGCAGCCACATACACCTTCAGAGTGGACGGTAAACTCCCATTATCCATCCTGTACTGAAGGAAGCGTAGAATATCCGACACGGCGCAATTACCCGGGTCAATACTGATATCCTGGCACCATTTAGAGAAAACTTCCCATTTCAATCTGTATAAACGCCTAGTGGATGGGGCGCGCACCTCAGCGATAGTGCTCATCGCTCGAGAGTGCAGAGCGTCCCGCTCATTCAGAGTCCCCGCAGCGGCCATACATGAAGGTTCCACAGCCCGGGGTTGGGGTGCCATACCGTGCCGTTCGCCTGCGATAACAGGTCTCTCCTGAGCGGAATTTCCCACGGGGAGTCCACCAGTAATTCCATCATGTCCGCGAACCAGGGCTGATTCGGCCAGTTCGGGGCTACGAGAATCACAGACGCTTTCTCCTCCCTGATTTTGCATAACACTGTGGGCAGAATCTTCACCGGAGGAAAGGCGTAAAGTCTGGCTCTCGGCCAGCGCGAAGTCAAGGCGTCGTTCGTCCGTCCCAAGGGGGAACGAGACAGCGAGAAGAACGCCTGGCAGTGCGCGTTCTCGCTCGAGGCGAACAGATCGACCTCCGCCCTCCCGAACCGATCCCAGATCATCTGCACCGATCCCGGTTGAAGCCTCCACTCTCCATGAGGAATCCCATTCCTCGAGAGCATATCCGCCCCGCGATTCAAAACACCGGGAATATGCGCCGCTCTCACGGATAGAAAGTGCCGGTCTGCCCACAGCAGGAGACTCGCCGCCTGCTCGAATAGGAGTCTGGAGCACACGCCTCCCTGGCGATTTATGTATGAGTCCACCGACGTGTTGTCGGTCCAAATCAGTACATGCTGACGCTCTAACTGTGACCGGAAGGCTTCGAGGGCTAAGGATACCGCCATCAATTCCAAGCGGTTTAGATGCCACGTTCGCTGCGACTCCGTCCATAAGCCTGAGGCAGTCGCGCCCATGCACACTGCTCCCCAGCCTGAGGTTGATGCATCCGTCAAGACTGCGGTGCGATGCGCCACGGTGCCCATCGGAACCCCTGAACTGAATAACGCTGGGTTTTTCCACGGTACCAAAGTGCGAATGCAGCTGCGGGTGACCGTGATGCGCCTGAGTCCGGACGACCACGCCCCCCGAGGGACTCGGAGCTTCAACCAGATTTGAAGAGGGCGCATATGCCCCAGATGACACACTGGGGAGGCTGCCGCCAACAGACCTAACAGCCTCTGAAATTCCTTTAGTGGCACAGACCTGCCCGGTCTGAAACGGTCCAGAGACAATGTCAGAGACCTTATGCGCTCTTGAGAGAGATGGGCTCGCATCGTTATAGAGTTCAAGCACACTCCCAGAAATGTTGTGGTCTGACTCGGTGTGAACACGCTTTTCTGTTCGTTTACACGCATCCCCAGCGAGTCCAGGTGACGAAGTAGTATTTCCACATGACCGATCGCGAGTGGGCTAGAATCAACCAATCGTCCAGATAATTTAGGATGCGCATTCCGCTCGACCTGAGGGGAGAAAGCGCCGCGTCCACACACTTCGAAAAGGTGCGGGGAGCCAGAGCCAGTCCGAACGGGAGTACTGAGTACTGATAAGCTGTGCCCTCGAACGCGAACCTCAGAAAGCGCCTGTGACGCGTTGCTATCTGGATATGAAAGTACGCGTCCTTTAAATCCACTGAAGCGAACCAATCCCCGGGACGAACTTGCGCCAGAATCTGCTTCAAAGTTGTCATTTTGAACGCGCGCTTGTGAAGTGCTCGGTTTATGGGTCTCAGGTCCAGGATCGGACGGAGACCCCCCCCTCTCTTGGGTACCACAAAGTAGCGGCTGTAGAAACCGCTCTCCCTCTCGATCGGGGGAACCGGTTCTATCGCTCCTTTCTCGAGCAGACTGAGAACTTCCTGTCTCAGAACGGGAACGTTTTGGGGCAAAGTTAATGACGGGATCACGCCGTTGAAACGGGGTGGTCTGCGTCTGAACTGAAGCGAATACCCGTGACGAATTAAGCCCAACACCCACGGTGAAATGCCTGGAATTGATTCCCAGCCACCTAGAAAATGACTCAGAGTGCGAGCTCGAACTGCGGTCATCGCCGCCCCCAGTGTAGTGTTTAGACTGGAGCCGCACTCCCGCGAGGCTGATAGCCCTGGTGGGAGTGCGGCTCGCAGTGGGCTGAGTGTAGTGCTGGCGATCTCGTGCCCAAGAGATGCCATTATAGTCATCGAGTGTGACCCTGCGCTGTCTCGTGAAAGGGCGGGTGACACAATGTGAGGTGTAAGAGGAAGAAAAAGCTCTTTTTGTGAAGGGATACATGCTTTTATTAATTTTTTGTTTGAACAAACAACATTCACACATATGCCGTCGTCGCTCGACTGAACATGAGGGACACGATGCATAAGAACACGGCGCTTGGAGTCCCGTCCTCCTTCGCGCTCTCTCTTCCTCTTGGCCGCTCCGTCAGGAAGAAGGCTTTGACGCGGAGGGGGGCGCGCTGACCTTCCCTCGGCGCGGGCTCCTTCTCTGGCCCTGGCTCTTTCTCCCGGGTCCCTGCCATTGTCTGCCCCGGGAAGCGCGAGCATCCGGCTCGGTGCGCGGCGCAGGCGATTGTCTCACCGAGCTCTGGGGCTGGCCCCGGCTAGCCGATGACGAGCGCGAACGCTGACGAGCTGGGGGCGCTCGACGCGGGATCACGTGGCTCATAGCTTTAGCGCGTTTCTGGGTCTCCGAAAAACGCTCCGTGACAGCCTCCACCGCGTTCCCAAAGAGACCGGCTGGGGTGATGGGAGCATTAAGCAGGGTTTTCCGGTCGGAATCCTTGACATCGGAGAGTGTCAGCCACAGGTGCCTGTGGAGAACGACCAGAAACCCCATGGAGCGACCGATGGCTTGCGCTGAGCGTTTAGTGGCCATCAGTGCAAGGTCCGTAGCTGAGCGGAGATCCCGGATGACGTCAGCGTCAACAGAGGCAACGCCATCCAGGGACTTAAGCAA